TGAGTTATGATTTTTTTCAAAGAAAAAAAAAGATGCTTGTTTAAAATACTAGTTCTTCTATGGTAGGGAATGAGAACCAACATTCATTCTTTCTGCAACCTATGTCTTGTATTACTCAAATAACACTCATGTTGATAACTGTTTCATCTGACTGTCAAAGAGCTTTGCAATAGCTACATGTGGTCCAGCAGAAGCAACACCTGCTTGTGTGTGGTTGGTAGAGTAACAATATGGGTGTAATAATTTATAGCTTTAATTTGAACATTTCACCTAAAATGTCATATGGTGTACTTGAGTGTGACAGTGTTATGTGACAGAATTACAGGCTTATGATTTTGTAATAAAAAAAGGGGGGGCATTATTTGTGCAGAACACCGTGTCACTCAAATCTCGCTGTGAGAGAAACCATCAGCCAAGTGCTGAGAGAAGGAATGAGTGCATCATGGGCATCTGGTGGAAGAACGTTCTAGAAAGAAGGGGCAGCACATGCAGACGTAGAATGTTCAAGGAGTGGCAAGGAAGCCAGCGTGGCCAACATGGAGTAAGCAAGGGCAGCGGGAGTTTGAAGAAACACGCTCAGGAAGTTGTAAGAGCATTCATGAAGTGTTATTAACAATGGTCCAAACCTGGAAACACCAAGGTATCTAGCAATAGCAGAATGGATACGTTATAATGTAGTTAGATAATAAAATTCTACAAGGAAGAAAGACTACAAGCTCCCTCAATAACATGGGGAAATCTTACAAACACACTGTGAAGCAAAGAGGCCAAATGTTAGTGTAATAAAAATTGCGTGAGCCCTGGCCAGTGTGAGTTGGTGGGTTGGAGCATCGTTCCATAGTCGGAAAGTTGCAGGTTCGGTTCCCGGTCAGGGCACATCCCTGGATTGTACGTTTGATCCCCAGTTTAGGCATGTGTCCTGAGCACTTGGGAGGGGGGTGTGGGGAGATGGGGGGCGGGCAACCAATCAATATTTCTCACATTGATGTTTCCCTCTCTCCCTTCCTCTCTAAAAGCGATGAAAAAAATGTGTCCTCTGGTGAAGAGAAAATATAATAATAATAATACAATTTTTAAAATTGTATGATTCCATTTATATAAACTTACAAACAAGGTGAAGCTAACATATGCAAATAGAAGACAGATTCTAGTTACCTTTGACAAGGAGATAGTATTTTTTTTTACTAGGAAGAGGGCCCCAGGAGTCTTCTGGGAGGGCTGAGAGGAGGTGTGTGGTGTTTCATTCCGTGATCATTCACTTAACATTTGTGCACCTTCCTGTACATGTTATATATCAATTTTTTAAATAAAAAACACACAACAGTGAATGGGAGAATTTGAGATAGCAAGTACAGACAATCCTTTCAAGAAATTTTACCACAAGACGAGCTGAGAAACAGTGTAATAGCCAAAGGGTTATTTTCTTTTCTCTTTTTTTAGTTGTTTATTTTTTCCTTTTGTTTGTTTTTTCTTTTTCTTTTTCTTTTTTAAAGGGTTATTTTAAAGATGAGAGAAATGACTGTTTTGGAAACTCCGCTTAGTCATATTTGCCGTGAAAGAGAAACACCTGTTCTATTATTTACTTAATAGTTTTTCTTAAATTGGATAATTTTTAACTTATTTAAAAGCAAACTCCACAGTCACACTATAGGTATCACTTGCCATAATACGAGTAGTTGTAAAAGTACAATGAAAACAAGCCGTTCAAGTAAAGTAACTTAAAAATGCAAAAACAATGCAATGTAAATGAAAATCAGTCTAATCAAGCTATATAACCTAACACCTAAAAGTAAGTTCTTCAGTTGGAAAACCAGAGCTGCTAATGATCAGTCGGGGGCAAGGGCATTCTGTTCCGTTCTGTCTATCACCACCGCCGCTTGCCTTTCTATCATCACCTTCACCTCTGTCCTCAAAGCATCTCATTTTTAACATTATTCACAGTGAATGCAACAGAGGAACAAAATGAAAACGGTCTCACAACGCTGTTGCAAAACCGTGCTGAGTGGGCCGGCACCTGAGTTCATCCCCAGTTTCATACGTCCCTGATGTGGAGGGAAATTCCTGCGCATCTCTGGACACAGGGCATATTTTGCAGTCTGGCCTAATTAAAGTTCTTACTGATTTTTAAAAAAATTTTTTTATTGATTATGCTGTTACAGTTGTTCTATTCCCCCCTTCATTCCCCTCCACCCTACCCCCCCATCCCCACCATTACCCCCCCTTTAGTTTATGACCATGTGTCTCAAGTCCTTTAGATTCTATATTTCCCATGCTATTCTTGCCCCCCCATCTATTTTCTATCTACTGTCTATGCTACTTATTTTCTGTACCTTCTCCCCCCATCTCCTCCTCCCACTCCCCCTGTTGCTAACCCTCCTTGAGATCTTCATTTCTATGTTTCCACTCCTGATCTAGCTGTCCTTTTAGTTTGCTTTCGTTTTAGGTGTGGTTGTTAATAACTGTGAGTTTGTTGTCCTTTCACTGTTCATGTTTCTTTAACTTCTTTTTCTTAGATAAGTCCCTTTAACATTGCATAGAATAAGGGCTTGGTGATGATGAACTCCTTGAATTTGATCTTATCTGAGAAGCACCTTATCTGTCCTTCCATTCTAAATGAAAGTTTTGCTGGATAGAGCAATCTTGGTTGTAGGTCTTTGGATTTCATGACTTGGAATACCTCTTTCCAGCCCCTTCTTGCCTGGAAGGTCTCTTTTGAGAAATCTGCTGACAGTCTGATGGGGACTCCTTTGTAGGTGACTGTCCCCTTAGCTCTTGCTGCTTCTAGGATTCTCTCCTTCATTTTAATCTTGGCTAATGTAATGATGATTTACCTTGGTGTGTTCCTTCTTGGGTCCAACTTCTTTGGGACTCTCTGAGCTTCCTGGATTTCCTGGAAGTCTATTTCCTTTGCCAGATTGGGGAAATTCTCCTTTATTATTTGTTCAAATCAGTTTTCCACTGGTGACTGTGCCTTTCCCCCTTCTGGTACCCCTATAATTCGGATGTTGGAGCGTTTAAAGATGTCCTGGAGGTTCCTAAGACTCTCCTCATTTCTTTGAATTCTTGCTTCCTGACTCTTTTCTGTTTGGCCATTATTTGCTTTCTTCTGGTCCACTCCATTGATTTGAGTCCCAGTTTTCTTTTCATTGCTATTGGTTTCCTGTGCAATTCCATTCATTTCAATTAGTTTCGCCTTCATATATTTGTCTAATTTGTGGGTATAATCAACCAGTTCTGTGAGGATCCTGATCACCAGTGTTTTAAACTGTGGGTCTGAGAGTTTGGCTATTTATTCATCGCTTAGATTTATAGGCTCTGGGGCTTTGAGAACTTGCGACATTTTTGGTCTGTTCTGGCCCTTTAAGTGTGAGAAGCGGTGCCTTGGACTCCCAGGTAGCTGGGTTGTGACGCTGTATGTGGGGGCGTGGTCAGAGCCGGGAAATGGCGGGGCCCTCTACTGCCGCTTGCCGCGGGGACGCCGGCCCCGGTCCAACCGCCCACTCCCTCGCCTGTCCGCTCTTGCACAAATGGGCGACCACTGTCAACACGCAGCACCACTTCCCCGCTGTCTCCTTCATGGTCGCTCGCCTGGTGGCTCGCTTGGTCGCTCACTAGGTCCAACCCTGCGCCTGGATTCCGCGCGTCTGGATTCTGCGCCTGAGTCCATCTGACTGAGTCCTCCTGTGCAACCCCTCACCAGCTGCTGGTTTCGCCCCTTACCGGTCAGGCTGAAGAATTTGTTGTTAATGGACTTCCGAAAAGTTCAATTTTCCGTGTTCTGGCTATGTTTTCTGTTGCTAATATTTAATTGTCTCTAAACTGGGTTGTGTGAGAAGGCACGGCACATCCACCTATGCCTCCATCTTGGCGGAAGTCCCCGATTTTTTTTATTATTTTATGCCAACACCTTAAGAACGGAGGTCTAGAGTGTTACGAGGAACTGGAAGCCTGGTTGCAAGTGGTCACCAAGTCCAAAATGGCTTTAAAGTCCGTGTCCCGTAAGAGCCATATTCATGATTGTTTGTAAGGTTTCCCCTGACGTATCTTGAAGATTCCTCAGAGATGAACAAAGCTGGACACTACGTAGAGCGGTGTGGGCAGATTTTAATCATAATACTGTTGCAACGGGAAAAGGGTTCAACTCCATTTGTACAGAGATGATAGGGGGTGGCAGAGGGGGTGGGGGGATGTTAAAGAGAGAACGAGGGAATGGGGGTTCAGTAGAGTCCCCAAGGTGAAAAGCTCCCGACATTGGGGAGGGCAGAGTGACACCCAGGTGTTATTGCTAAGCAGCCCTAATGGGACTTAGGCTCCTACCCTCCTTCCAGAGACAGGCACCCTTATCTTAGGGTGTTGGCTAGTACAAGCAGTTAATTCTTTTGGCACCCCTGAGTTTTCTTGCCGAGGCACTTTAAGGGGGGGCCAGAGTCACCCCAGGGATGTGGCTGTGAGCTGTTAGAAACTATGTTAGTGTGTTTTCAAGTGTTTATAGTCCAAGATTGAGGCCTGGTTGAGAAAGAGGGCTGAAAGGAGCCTGGCTATAATTTGGATAAGGAGAGAATCTTTGTCACTTTTCAGTGAAATTATTTACCAAGCGCCATCTCTCTCCCTTCCCAAATTCTACAGGAAGGGTCCAAAGACTGTTATAACCCTAGGTGTATCTTCTGCTTCCCTGGAACCCTTTCTTAGGTTTTAAAAATCTCAACGCAGACAGCAGGCCTGAACTTAGACGCCCGCAACTAAGGCTGCTATCGGGAGGGAACTACAATTCCCAGCAGCCCTGGCGAAAGAAAAAAAAGTCCAACTTTCCGGGCTCCGTCCTCTATTGGCCATCAGCTCAGCTCCTCCCGCCCCTTCAAAACGGAGCCTGGCCTTTCGGCGGGCAGCGCCACCCGCTGTCTCTGGGAGGCAAGCGGCCCGGGAGGAGGAGCCGGCGTGGCAGTGTTGCGCCGACGTCACTTCCGCTGGGCGGGCCTCTGCCTCCCGCGCAAATTGAAAGGTCAGGCCTATCCAACGCGCGTGCCTCTGGTTCTGCGGCCGTAGTGAGTCAGAGGCGTTGGGGACGGGTTTCGGGACCCCACCCGGCTGCCCTCGAGCGGACGGGGAGAACCCTTCCCGGGAAGTGAGCGGAGCGGCCTGTACGGAGTCTTTGGGTGGGTTCTTGCTGGTCCCCGCGGGGTCCATCTGCGCGCCCCCCGTTCCGGTCTCGGGATTCCGGCTCCGCGCGTTCCTCCGGATCCTAGAGCGCGGCGGAGGCGCTGCCCGAGGGCAGTTCGCGGTGCGGGAGGGTGTTTGGTCGCGAAGGGACGCTTTTGGCCAGGCGAGCGCTGCAGCTCGCGAATCGAGAGGCAGTCCGCCCTCCCCGCCGACCCTTCCCTGCAGGACCGCGCGCCGGTCGTCAGACTTTCTGCAGAAGCTAGCAGTCCCGTTTTTACGTGCGATCTCCCGACTTTTAAATGTTGACAGGTAGATTTTTTCGTTAATGCAAAACGCGTCTTCTGGAATGGGCTGGCGAGCCACTCCAGTACATCTCTGCGTGGCACAGGAGTAAAAGGGTGATGTCGCTGTTGTTCCTTGTCCCTCTGCTGGTCTGCTTGAGTGATTTGAGTCTGGTGGCACTCAGTCAGTCTCATTATGCTGAAGAGGAATTACGTACTCGAGGATATTCGTCTAGCTTAGAAGAAACTATGTTTCACGAAATGTAGACTGTGTCAGTTTTCCTCCGAGTGCAAGAAAAGTCTTTAGGGACATTATCTGAGACGTAGGAGATTAATTGGTTTTCTCGCACTGTGGCTTGAGGACCACCTGCATCCAAGTTACCTGCTGAGATTAAAATTCAGAACACCCCCCCCCCCTCACTCCTTAAGTGAATTGCAGCCACCTGGAGTGAAGTGGCGAGTCTGCGAACTGCTGAAATTTGGCAACGGTTGCACTAGAGCATCAGCTGCAATCCATTATCAACAGGGTAAGGCTTACTTCTGATCCTGCGCTCCTCCCTTCCTGCTAAACCTAATGTTTGGCGGGAGAGATTCACGTTAGGAAATGCCAAGCAACTGCACCATGCTCAGTGCTGTCTCTTATCCTGGGGACTTGGGGGGAAGCAGTTGCTTCAGGAAGGATATCCATAATTTCCATACAGAAAGACCGTGGGGGTTGCAATCTGGATGGAAGGGGTGGGAAGTTAACACTTTTCTCCCAAAGCATTTATTATATTTTTCAGTTGAAATGCTCACCTTCCCATGCTGATGTGCATATTGGCTCTTATAATGCATGTGTAGAGAGAATTTGATGCCGTAGCAAGAACAATTTTATTGGTTTTAGCAGCCTTTTTAGAGGGAAGAAAGCCCCATACTTTCCTAGCCCCTCCATGTGTCCAGTGCTGTGTTAAGTAAGGGCTTGGGTGCATATGATTCCACGTGGGAAAGCACTTTGGAAAGAATAAACTTGAAGGAACTATCACATGGCATTAGAGACGGTATTAGGGTTTGGTATGGAAATTCTAGACTAGGGAAATGGTTTGACAGGGAGGAGCCCAGGTAAACTGGGCTCCAGCTAGTTCAGAACATTGATTCTCAAATATCTGAACAGTAACAGGTGCTTATCAGCTGCCAGCATCTTTTTTTTCCCCTAAGACTTTTGGTTAATATATATTGGCTTTAAACATTGCCGTTTTCCCTTTCTCCTTTCATATCGTATAGTTAACTGGGCACAATGGGAATACATGGATTATTGCAGTTCATCAAAGAAGCTTCTGAACCCGTCCACGTGAGGAAGTATAAAGGCCAGGCAGTCGCCGTGGACACATACTGTTGGCTTCACAAAGGTGCTATCGCTTGTGCCGAAAAACTGGCCAAAGGTGAACCTACTGATAAGTAAGTTTGGACCTCGTGTTAATTCGTTGCCAAACAAGAGTGAAATTATAATGCCTTATTTTCAGAAAAGGATCGTTTTCATTCACTGCCAGGTTTACCAAGAAGTGAGAGTGTGCGCGTTAGACCTTTGCCAAGTGGGGAATGACTTCCCTCTATGACACAGGCCTAGTTTTTATTTGGAATAAGCCAGCTGTCAGCGCACTGATGGACAAAGACGGAAGAGTGTCTCTTTGCTTCTTTGTCTAACATAAACGCATTAACGATATTCTGAAAATCCACTGTGATTTCAGACTTTTACTTTCTTGGGTACGGACAACACTGCTAAGCCCTGTTACCAAAGCAAAGCATTTGCTTCAAAGGAGCGAGGTCTTCTGGCTCCCTTTTGCTTCACTGGGGACTAAAAATGGTGGGCCAGGACTTGACCATTTTGACCTCATTTGAGGCAGGACTGTGTCCTCTCTCTTTTTTAAATAGAAACATTAGAAAAACAAGCACAATTCCTGGACAGATTTTTCTCCAGGGAGTTGGGTACTTATTATGTATTTTCTATTTTGCAATATGTTGTATCATTGGTTTCCCAGAGGAAAGTCTCGCAGATCCTAATGTGACTTCCTTAAACACAGTGGACTGTAGGGAAAATGGGTCAATGAACCCTGTTTGTTTCTTAGGAGAAAGGGGGAAAGTCGTTACCGAACCGTGAGAGTTCGGCGCAGGCCTGCAGAGTCACCTTGAACACATGGCCTGTACAGTGAGTGGGATTGAAGGGTTGTCACCGTCTGCCACTCCGACTGCTGGGATCAATTTTTAAGCCAATTTCTTTGTCACCATTAAATCCGAGCAGTTGTGATTATACTTGAAGACTATGCGTTTTTTTTTATTGCTTCTTCATGGTCTCTGAATATTTCTTCATGGGGGGAAACCTTCATGTCTAGCTTTTGTAATTCCTGGGGATTCTGAGACTTTTGACTAGTTGGAAGAGCTGTCCACACGCAGGGAATGAATACCCTTTACAGTGGGACCTGCCATGTGGTTACGGTCCAGTAAATGTGTACTGAGCTAAAAGGTTTCAGGACTTTGATCAAAGTATTGTGTATTTTAGTCTTCTTTCCCAAAGCAGCTAATAAATCACATCTCATAGAGTTTATTATCCATTTTTTGTCCACCCTTGGATGGGAATATTAACCAGATGAGGCCAGAAGAGTCAGGGGGCCTATGATAAACTTTTAGGACCTTTATCAAGAATAAAGTAGGTCTGTATGTGCTGACCTGGAAGTACATAGAACGAGGGCCCCGGTAGCTGATGTTTGTGTTCTGTCTGGTTAAAGGTTTTTAAATCAATTACAACTCTATGTGGCTTTCCCCTGTTTTTATGTGACATTTAATCAGATCATAGTGATTGCTGCGTAGATCAGCTCGGCTTGGTTTTCACTGGTTCATAAGAAAAAAAATAAGGACAACAAAGTAAATCTTTCATTGAATGTATCTGATTTAAATGATTGCTTTTTAAGATTATGCCTTTCTATTTCTATTTGGAGTTAAAAGACCCTTTTTTAATGAAATAATGGGAGTTGTAGTTATTCTTGTGAATTGCCTCCACAGAATAAAAACTAAACTCAATATGTGATCCGTATTTGGATCCTGGCCTGGGGGTAAAATCTGTAGCAGAACTGTGTTGGAAACCCCAGTTCACTCGAGTTTCCTGCACACCTTCTCGCAGTTCAGGGACCCCACGCTGGTAGTTTGTGGTCATTGTAGACCACTTCTGTCGGGGAAACTGACGTGCTACAAGTCAGGCACTCCGTACCCCAAACTGGCTGTCGGGCATTTACCGAGACGCCACTGACTGTAAGAAACATCACTGGGACCGTGAGACAAAGTTTAATGTAGACTGTATAATAGATGATATATTATTGCTGATAAATTCCTTGGGTGTGATAATGGGGTGGTTGGACAATCCTTCCAGCTTTTCAATAGCTTTGAAATCTTTCCAAGCCAAAAAAATCAAAATGGGAGACAAGGCAAGGTGGGCAAGCGCACAGGGGTACACCTGGAGGGACACCGGAGCCTGTCCACCTGCAGGTGGAGACAGCCGGGCGTGCGGGGCCAGGTGACCACTGACTGGCACAGGGCTTACCAGGGTCCGAGGCAGGGTTTGAGCCCACGTCTACATTAGTTTCCATTTCCTATGAAAACATTTTCTTAAAAAAGTAAAAATAAAAACCTCTCTTCACAGTTCAGGTCATTGGTTTTAAAAAGCAGAAGTTTCACCTTACAAGATGCAGAACACCTGAATGCGTTTCCTTTCTTTTCGCAGGTATGTAGGATTTTGTATGAAATTTGTGAATATGTTGCTGTGTCACGGAGTCAAGCCCATTCTCGTATTTGATGGATGTACTTTACCTTCTAAGAAAGAGGTGGAGGCGTCTAGAAGAGAGTAAGTCGAGTCTCTGTTTAATCTCTGACTTACGTGCATCGAGGTCGATGCTATGGTTTTTAATTTGCTGAGGCAGTTTTAAAGCCTCACAAAGGATCCCCTCAGGTTCCTGGTATGCTGATAAAGTTCTGTCCTTCATACTTGAAGGTTAGTTTTGATGTAGAAGTCTTGACTCACCGTGTCTTCCTCTTAAGCGCCTTCGTTAATCCATCTTCGGACGTCAAGCCTTGCTGTGGGCAGGCCTGGGGAGCCGAGGCGACTGTGTATTTGTGAATCTCTCCTTCCTTTTGCCCAGAAGCCCAGGGGATCTGGGTTAACAGGCTCAAGGACCTGGTGTGCACTTCCAAAGGGGTCCAACTTCTTTCCGTTCTAGGAACCTTTCTTGAATTGGGGTTTTATTATAGTTTCTGGATCAGCCTCTTTTTTCCCTTGCAGAAGACGACAAGCCAACCTTCTTAAGGGGAAGCAGCTTCTCCGTGAGGGGAAGGTCTCGGAGGCCAGAGAGTGCTTCACCCGCTGTGTCAACATCACGCACGCGATGGCCCACGGAGTGATTAAAGTAAGCGAGGGCAGGGCTGAGGCTGGAGTCCCGAAGGGCGGGGGTCACTGACGTTGTGTGTTAATGGGAGAGCAGATGAGAAGGGGTGAGGAGAGGAACGTTGCTGTCGTCCTGATCTGGGGAGGGCTGAGGTCGGAGGGACACAGCAGTTTCGGAGGGAGAAAGCCTCCCTTCTCAGATAAGTCACTCCAACTCCAGCAGCACGCACGCCCTGCGCAGACGAAGGGGCACGTTCCGGAGGATCAGCCCCGCCCCACCCTCCTGGAGTCTTCACTGTTTACAGACCCTTCACGCCTATTAGAGACCTCGGGCCAGCCTTGCTGGCCTGGGAACTCTGGGGCTTCCAGGCCACCTAACCTGCTCTGCTTCGAAGTGTCTTTTTGTTACTGCAAATATTAGTGTCCACCTGCCCACAATCACAGCCCTCGCTTCCCCTTTGCGGGCCTGTGCTCACACTGCTTGATAAACAAATGGGAAAATAAATGGAGTGATTAGATTCTACAGTTCATCGTTGTCAGACTCGTGCAGTCTGACAAGAGAACCCACCATCCGAACATACATTCAGATGTCTAAAGAGGTCTTATATACTTCTAGAGCATAACCATTCTTAAGATGGAAGCTTTCTTGAGTTTGAAATAAATTTTGTGGCTTATCAGTTATTGCCCCCCTCACTCCCTCAGTGTATGGCAGTATTGTCCCCAAACGTATAAGTTGATTTTTAAAAGACTTAGGGGCTATATGATCAGTTAAATACACACATGCCAGGACTAAAAGCAGGAAAAGCGAACTTCAAAGGAGGTGGCTTTTGAAGCGGTGTTCTGCATGTGGAAGTTGGCAACGGCATGGATTTGGGACAGGAAGTTGTCAGCTGTTCCCACATGCTGTCCTGCACATTGACGGGTCTTCTGTCACAGGCTGCTCGGGCCCAGGGCGTCGATTGTCTCGTGGCGCCGTATGAAGCGGACGCGCAGTTGGCCTATCTCAACAAAGCTGGTATTGTCCAAGCCATAATTACGGAGGACTCTGACCTCCTCGCCTTTGGCTGCAAAAAGGTACTTAAAGAGTATAGATCAAGGAGCTGAAGTTTTCCTCTCCACTAATATTTTATTTAATACCTGACATTAATTTCTACTTACAATGTTAAAAATTATTTAAAATGAAAAGTGTTTTGCTGTTTGACACTTTGTATCATCTGTGTGTTTTTCAGAATAAGCCTTAAGTTAGAGTGTTATATTGTTTTGTCCAAATTCTTTAGTAGAATGTAGACTTACTAGTCTTATTTCTTAGTAATAACAACTTAGGTGCTTTATATTTTTCAGTAGATTAAGCGAACTAATTTTTTTTAATTATTTTTTTATTGATTATGCTGTTACAGTTGTTCTATTCCCCCCCTTCATTCCCCTCCACCCTACCCCCGTCCCCACTATTACCCCCCTTTAGTTTATGACCATGTGTCTCAAGTTCTTTAGATTCTATATTTCCCATGCTATTCTTGCCCCCCATCTATTTTCTATCTACTCTCTATGCTACTTATTTTCTGTACCTTCTCCCCCCTTCTCCTCCTCCCACTCCCCTGTTGCTAACCCTCCTTGAGATCTTCATTTCTATGTTTCCACTCCTGATCTAGCTGTCCTTTTAGTTTGCTTTTGTTTTCGGTGTGGTTCTTAATAACTGTGAGTTTGCTGTCCTTTCGCTGTTCATGTTTTTTTCTTAACTTCTTTTTCTTCGATAAGTCCATTTAACATTTCATATAATAAGGGCTTGGTGATGATGAACTCCTTGAATTTGATCTTATCTGAGAAGCACCTTATCTGTCCTTCTATTCTAAATGAAAGTTTTGCTGGATAGAGCAATCTTGGTTGTAGGTCTTTGGATTTCATGACTTGGAATACCTCTTTCCAGCCCCTTCTTGCCTGGAAGGTCTCTTTTAAGAAATCTGCTGACAGTCTGATGGGGACTCCTTTGTAGGTGACTGTCCCCTTAGCTCTTGCTGCTTCTAGGATTCTCTCCTTCATTTTAATCTTGGCTAATGTAATGATGATGTGCCTTGGTGTGTTCCTTCTTGGGTCCAACTTCTTTGGGACTCTCTGAGCTTCCTGGATTTCCTAGAAGTCTATTTCCTTTGCCAGATTGGGGAAATTCTCCTTTATTATTTGTTCAAATAAGTTTTCCACTGGTGGCTGTGCCTTTCCCCCTCTGGTACTCCTATAATTCGGATGTTGGAGCGTTTAAAGATGTCCTGGAGGTTCCTAAGACTCTCCTCATTTCTTTGAATTCTTGCTTCTTGACTCTTTTCTGTTTGGCCATTATTTGCTTTCTTCTGGTCCACTCCATTGATTTGAGTCCCAGTTTCCTTTTCATCGCTATTGGTGTCCTGTGCAATTTCATTCATTTCAATTAGTTTTGCCTTCATATATTTGTCTAATTTGTCGGTATAATCAACCAGTTCTGTGAGGATCCTGATCACCAGTGTTTTAAACTGTGCATCTGAGAGTTTTGCTATTTCTTCACTGCTTAGATTTATAGGCTCTGGGGCTTTGAGATCTTGAGCCATTTTTGGTCTGTTTGTGCCGGTTAAGTATGAGGAGCGGAGCCTTGGACTCCCAGGTAGCTGGGTTGTGACGCTGCATGTGGAGGCGGGGTCAGATCAGGGAAATGGCGGCGCCCTCTGCTGCTTCTCTCAGCTGGGTGAGGAGCAGAGCTTTAGGTGGTTCACCTGGGCCTGGCCACTCAGAGTCGCTGGGTTATGACGCTGTATGTGGAGGCGTGGTCAGATCAGGGAAATGGCGGCACCCTCTCCTGCTTTGTGGGGCCTTAGGTGGTTCACCTGGGACGGGCCACTCAGAGTCGCTGGGTTATGACGCTGTATGTGGAGGCGGGGTCAGATCAGGGAAATGGCGGCGCCCTCTGCTGCTTCTCTCAGCTGGGTGAGGAGCAGAGCTTTAGGTGGTTCACCAGGGCCGGGCCACTCAGAGTCGCTGGGTTATGACGCTGTATGTGGAGGCGGGGTCAGAGCAGGGAAATGGCGGCGCCCTCTGCTGCTTCTCTCAGCTGGGTGAGGAGCAGAGCTTTAGGTGGTTCACCTGGGCCTGGCCACTCAGAGTCGCTGGGTTATGACGCTGTATGTGGGGGCGTGGTCAGAGCAGGGAAATGGCGGCGCCCTCTCCTGTTTTGTGCCTTAGGTGGTTCACCAGGGACGGGCCACTCAGAGTCGCTGGGTTATGACGCTGTATGTGGAGGCGGGGTCAGAGCAGGGAAATGGCGGCACCCTCTGCTGCTTCTCTCAGCTGGGTGAGGAGCAGAGCTTTAGGTGGTTCACCTGGGCCTGGCCACTCAGAGTCGCTGGGTTATGACGCTGTATGTGGAGGCGGGGTCAGATCAGGGAAATGGCGGCGCCCTCTGCTGCTTCTCTCAGCTGGGTGAGGAGCAGAGCTTTAGGTGGTTCACCTGGGCCTGGCCACTCAGAGTCGCTGGGTTATGACGCTGTATGTGGGGGCGTGGTCAGAGCAGGGAAATGGCGGCGCCCTCTCCTGTTTTGTGCCTTAGGTGGTTCACCAGGGACGGGCCACTCAGAGTCGCTGGGTTATGACGCTGTATGTGGAGGCGTGGTCAGATCAGGGAAATGGCGGCGCCCTCTGCTGCTTCTCTCAGCTGGGTGAGGAGCAGAGCTTTAGGTGGTTCACCTGGGCCTGGCCACTCAGAGTCGCTGGGTTATGACGCTGTATGTGGAGGCGGGGTCAGATCAGGGAAATGGCGGCGCCCTCTGCTGCTTCTCTCAGCTGGGTGAGGAGCAGAGCTTTAGGTGGTTCACCTGGGCCTGGCCACTCAGAGTCGCTGGGTTATGACGCTGTATGTGGAGGCGTGGTCAGAGCAGGGAAATGGCGGCGCCCTCTGCTGTTTTGTGAGGAGCAGAGCTTTAGGTGGTTCACCTGGGCCGGGCCACTCAGAGTCGCTGGGTTATGACGCTGTATGTGGAGGTGGGGTCAGAGCAGGGAAATGGCGGCGCCCTCTGCTGCTTCTCTCAGCTGGGTGAGGAGCAGAGCTTTAGGTGGTTCACCTGGGCCTGGCCACTCAGAGTCGCTGGGTTATGACGCTGTATGTGGAGGCGGGGTCAGATCAGGGAAATGGCGGCCCCCTCTGCTGTTTCTCTCAGCTGGGTGAGGAGCAGAGCTTTAGGTGGTTCACCTGGGCCAGGCCACTCAGAGTCGCTGGGTTATGACGCTGTATGTGGGGGCGTGGTCAGAGCAGGGAAATGGCGGCGCCCTCTCCTGTTTCCTGTGGCAGTGCCTTAGGTGGTTCACCAGGGACGGGCCACTCAGAGTCGCTGGGTTATGATGCTGTATGTGGAGGCGGGGTCAGATCAGGGAAATGGCGGCGCCCTCTGCTGCTTCACTCAGCTGGGTGAGGAGCAGAGCTTTAGGTGGTTCACCTGGGCCTGGCCACTCAGAGTCGCTGGGTTATGACGCTGTATGTGGAGGCGGGGTCAGAGCAGGGAAATGGCAGCGCCCTCTGCTGCTTCTCTCAGCTGGGTGAGGAGCAGAGCTTTAGGTGGTTCACCTGGGCCTGGCCACTCAGAGTCGCTGGGTTATGACGCTGTATGTGGAGGTGGGGTCAGAGCAGGGAAGTAGGGGCGCCGCTGCCACTTGCTGCGGGACCCGCCGGGCCCCAGTCCAAGCGCCCACTCCCTCGCTCGTCTATCTGCGCACAAAGCCGCGACCACAGTCAACCCGTAGCCCTGCTCCCTCTCTGTTTCCCCGCGGTCACTGGGTCTCTCACTAAGTCCAACCCTGCGCCTGGATTTCTAGCGCCCGAGTCCGTCTGACTGAGGTGTCCTGTGCAACCCCGCTCCACCAGCTGCTGGTTTTGCCCCTTATCAGTCAGACTGAAGAATTTGTTGTTAACAGACTTCCGAAAAGTTCAATTTTCTGTGTTCTGGCTGTGTTTTCTGTTGCTAATATTTAGTTGTCTCTAAAGTTGGTTGTGTGAGAAGGCACGGTATATCCACCTATCCCTCCATCTTGGCGGAAGTGCTCCAGATTAAGTGAACTAATTATTGATGGGATTGTGAATAAAACTTTAATGGAAATTTTAATGGTATAGTAAAGGGGAAAATTAAGATAGGAAAGTATAGGAGGACCTCCCTTTTGTTAGTACTGTTATTTATTTTATCTATATTATCTATGTTTCATAAACAACTAGAGGGATATGTGTCTGAAGGTTAGTGTGCTGGGCAACAGTGATAGATGGGAAATTTAGGGCAACTTCTGTATTGCTCCTCGTGAATCTCTGTTTTCCAGATTTTCTGTAATGAACATGTCTCACTTTAAAGATAAAAAGGGTTACTTAAAAAAAAAGTGACAGTGGAAGGCGAGTGCTTTCTGTACAAACTGCCGTTTGACAGCCGTGGAATGTAAGTGGGCACCAGTAGGTGCAGAAAGGGCTTTCCTTGGGTCACAGTCCCAGCCACTGTGATTATTTATTTGCAGATATGACAGCAGGTAATTGGCATGTTTATCTCACTCCCTTCCATTGTTACCATGAAGAGCAAGACACACCTCAGAAATATCACAATGGATCACAGCCTCGTAGGCGTTAACAATTTCCCTTCTCTTTGAAGGTGATTTTAAAGATGGACCAGGTCGGAAATGGACTGGAAATCGACCAGGCCCGGCTGGGCATGTGCCGGCAGTTCGGGGGCGTGTTCACGGAGGAGAAGTTCCGCTACATGTGCATCCTGTCGGGCTGCGACTACCTCTCCTCGCTGCGCGGCGTGGGCCTCGCGAAGGCCTGCAGGGTGCTGCGGCTGGCCAACAACCCGGACATCGTGAAGGTGAGGGCGGCTTACCGAGCGGCGCGTTCGCCGTCTGGAGCGTTTCTTAAACCATGGATGGAGCACCCAGAACGGCGGGGGTTTTAACTGTTCTGTTAACAGCCAACTCCGTGTCACTGAAGTAAGAAAATGACTCGACACTCTGGGACTCTGCTTTTGGCAATGGACGGACCATGTTTTCAGCAATGGACCAAAGAGCAGTAGTGACTTTTTAAATGAAGAGAAATATGAAGAGGCTTAAGGGCTCTTTAAAATATTCCGGTAGAAATAGCATTAACACGTACTGCCTTTGGTTTTTGTCCTATTGCTCAGTAGTGGTCCTCCAACTTTGGGTCTCAGGACCCCTTGACGCTCTAAAAGCTCTTTTTGCACGTACTTTGAGTTTATGTGGGTTATCCCTCTCGACATTTACCAAATCAGCAATGAAAACAGAAGTTTATTAATTCACTTAAAATGAACGATACTAAATTCTTTTTATGAAAAGTAGCCATGTCTTCTAAACCCAGTGAAAATGGTGAGAATTGCACATTTACATGAACCTCTTCGATGTGGCTTTAATGGAGACAGCGGGGTCTCCTCTCTGCTTCCCCCACGGTCCGATGCAGTGTCCTGCGTCGTGGAGGCGGGAACTCGGGGGAATTCTGAGTTGCTGCAGTCACTGCCCTAGAAGTTCTCTGATAAGAGCCCCGAGAGTGCAGGGCAGAGCTCCCGTGTTCCGTTTCCCGGGACGAGGAGCGAGTCCTCGGGGCTGGGGACGGCGCCGTTGGAGGGGAAGATCTCTGGGCTGGGACGGTGGCAGAGCCGGCGGGAGAGTAACGCGCCCTCGCTGTCTGTGACTCGGGATCCCTTCGGTTCCTGGGTCTGCCCTGCGCCACCAGGAGTTCGGTATCAAATGTTCAAAACCACTTCCAGCTTCAATCCCCTATGACTCTGTTAGGAGGAGTTAGAACGCCAACTTTGCTTTGAAAATATTATCTGGGAATATTTGGGGTTTTTGTGTGTGTTTTTTTTTTAAAGATTTTATTTATTTATCTTTAGAGGGGAAGGGAAGGAGAGAGGGAAAGAAACATCAATGTGTGGTTGCCTCTTGTGCATCCCCTGCTGGGAACTGGCCTGCAACCCGGGCTTGTGCCCCGACTGGGAATCGAACCACGATCCTCGGGTTTGCAGGCTGTGCTCAATCCACTGAGCTACACCAGCCAGGGCTACTTGGGGTTTTTTAATTCTCGAGTTTTGTATGTTGTTTTTTGCCTTCTGAATGAAAGACACTTTGAGGGTGAAGAGGATCTTCAACTTATACCTGGGAATATAAACTTGATGTGTGACTGAGTTTTTCACTCTCTGGATTAACAATAGGAAAAGCAAACAGAATGCTGTCCTAGAGACTCAGAATTTTGGTTGGTGGTAGAGGTTGTTAATGGAGGTGAAAGCAGCGGTTTTCTGTTTCTCCTCCCCCTCCGTTCATGCAGGCTGCTTGGTCCTGGGGCTGATACGCTCTGTATTCTTGGTCTGCAGATAACTCGGAAATATTTTTGCACCCATTATTAGGTCATCAAGAAAATCGGGTATTATCTCAAGATGAACATAACAGTACCAGAAGATTACATCGAAGGATTCATTCGGGCTAACAACACCTTCCTCTATCAGCTAGTTTTCGACCCCATCCGGAGGAAACTCATCCCTCTGAATGATTACGGAGATGACGTCGACCCTGAAACCCTGAGCTACGCTGGGCGGTATCCTTTCTGAGGCAGGGTGGCAGAATTTTCAGTTCCTCCGTGGGCTTTTGGTGACATGTTTAGTGAAATGGTCAGTAAAAGGCTTACAAATTGTTTTTTGCTTGTTCTTTTATGGTGAAATCTGCATTTTGTTGATTTGAATTACCATTCTAGTGAAAATACAGAGCAACTCTTCTGTATAAATCTGAGTCTTGTTCATTATAACTTGCTAATTACTTAGATTGACTTGATAGTAACACGTCCAGAGTTGGGCACTTCAGGAACGTATTTCAAAGGTGGCACTGAAGACAAACACTCGTGGTAAAAGAAACAGCTCTGGGAATCAGGAGGAGCAGGCCGGAGGCCCCTCCTCCAGCCACTGGCCACACCCATGGGCCCTAGGCCCCCCCAGCCACTCAGGTGGGGGCTAGGACTTTCCACTGTTTCTTGAAAGGGAGTCGGTTGATGACTGGGGGCTTTGCTTCAGAAAACAGCCAGCTCCTGCAGTGACAGCTGGAAGTGAGCCCATCTGCTGCCTTTGGTGATGCTGAGTGTAAAAGGAGGGCCCACCGAGGTTACGAAACTGAAGATTTTCTCTGATGGTGGGATGTGCTTTGTAGTCTTGACACAGTGGCTTCTGTTTGCTTGCTGATGAAAGCATCTTTCCTTAATCTTACCAACCTAGGTACGTTGATGATTCTATAGCTCTTCAAATAGCACTCGGAAATAAAGATGTAAATACTTTTGAGCAGATTGATGACTACAATCCAGACACTGCTATGGTAACATTTTAATGGCTTCTTTCCAAAAGCACGTTTTAGTTGTATTTCGGTTATGTCTCTGAACTGTGGCTAAAGGCAGATCTTCATTTGGTAAACATATTTTAAGCATTTTTCTATCGAGGCACACTGCAGAGAATAGGTTGAAAACATGTCGATGCTAGAGAAATTCTCTCTCTTAGAATGTAGGTATATCGGTTCATGTCCTTGAATTACAAAGTGACCACATTATGTGCTGTCAAACCTGTAGACTTGAACATTTCCCGTGAACATGCCAGGACCTCATCCTGCCCAGCCTTGTCGTTTGGTATTGCGGGAGGCCGACACCTAGAAGCACGCTGCTCGTGGGGCCCGAGCTGTTCTCACTCGTTCGCAGTCTAGCAAATATCTTTAACCGGCACCTGCCGTGTTCTTTAAGCCCCTTCCTGTTCTCTTCCACTTGCTCCTGGCTGTATGTGCCGCTTACAGTGCACTCTTCCAGCTTTTCTCTTTTCTGTTCGTATTTTCATTCAGACTTTTCATTCGTATGTGTTCTGACCCGGTGTTTGGCCTCTGTGCCAGGCCCGTAATTCTAAATGTCTCTTGAATCTACGGAAATGACTTCTGTAACCTGAAATCTATCCGCAGTCAACAAACAAACTCTTCATTCCACATTGGCTTTCCCTAATTACATTTCTCTTTTTTTCCTTAGCACTTTCTGCTACATAATTTATGTGTCTCTATGGTTTATTTTTTGATCCTTCCCAAAAGAATGCAGTCTTCATAAATGTGGGTTTTATTATCTTTTGTTGCTAAGTCCTTACAAGCATGGATTATATTTTATTTTTATTTGTCCTCCAAAATACTAGCTAACCTAACTATGTTCAATGTGCTTAATAAAAGCTTAGTAAAGGACTGAATTCATGAGCAAGGGTAAAAAACACCTGAATTGGACTGGAAATGATGAGAAAGCAGAAACTATCAGCCAACAAGGCCACTAAAAGAAGCAAAGGGACTTAGCCATGAAAGCAGGCCAGCTTGTTTCCAAGTTTTCTGGTCTGAGAGGCTGCAAGAGGCCGTGTAACTGCCATTCGTTCATTTATTCAACAGATAGAGGAGGTGGATACACCCATACTGACCGGCAGGAAGGCCTTTTACAGGGGAACTTGCATGTTTTCATGTAAGTCTCAGCGTAGCCATTCGTTCCTGCCTGTCCACTGAAGATGGTTCCAAGTGTGGGCTTCAGGGGAACCAGTGTTCGGTAACGTCGGTGGTTTTAGTTTGACTCAACAGTTTCTAGAGGTGGGACAGCAGATTACTTTAAATACATAATTTGACGGTTTTAACGTCCAGGTGCTTTGTGAAAGGCATGTAAATGATTATTTAGAGGCTTATTGCCAGGTGATCGTTAAGCTCATTAATGTCTATTGAAATAATACCCAAATTTTAAAAGTCCATTTTTTGGCCTGTACTTCTTCCATTGCAATCTCTTATCTTGCACTATTCACCTTAAGAAGTTTTATTTTTCATTTCTGAGAAATGAGCTAACAAGGTCACTTGACCCTTGTTAGAAGAGAAACAGACCTAAGAATACAAGACACGTTAAGTAACATTGTGGGACCAAAAAAGTAGAAAAGGTTATTCCAGGACAGATATTTCATCAAAAAGCTGTTCTTCTTAAGAGTAATTTAATTATTTGCTTATAATTTATGTTGATGCAGAGGGGAATAAATCGACCATTTTCCTTCAAGGAGCCGTTTTTCTTTTACTGTTCCAGCCTGCCCAGTCAAGAAGCCGCAGCTGGGATGATAAAGCGTGTCAGAAGTCATCCAGCATCAGTAGCATTTGGCACAGGAATTACTGCCCCAGACTGGAGCTGGATGTCGGCCCAGGCGCCACAAGGCGGAAGGAAACTCCAAGCACTGTGGGCACCGAACGAGTGATCAGCACCAATGGCTTCGGTCTTTCCGGGAAGTCGTCCTCCATGAAGAGACCAAGAGGTGGTGCGTAGCTCGTTTGGGTGGCGTGCTAGTGCGTGTCAGTCACATTGACGAAATCTGTGCTCAACCCAAGGCCGCTAAGATTTTTCTCCTGGTTTGTCTAGCAGTTTTATAGTGTTAACCCTTCTATTTAGGCCTATGATTAATTCTGAATGGACTTTTTAAATGCAGTACGAGGTGAGGGGCAAGGTTCCCCTTTTTGTGTACATGCAGGTCAGTTGCTAAGCAGGTCGTCCTTTTCCTGTTGAATCGCCATGGCACATTTGTCTGCGGTCGATAGACCGTGTGCGTGTGGGTCTGTTTCTGTGCCCTGGTGCTGTCTGCACGTCCGTCTGTCTGCACGTCCGTCTGTCTGCACGTCTGTCTGTCTACACGCCGGTCTCTTTTCCTGCCCCAGCACCAGACACACTGTCTTTACCACTGTAGCCTTATAGTCAGTTTTGAAATCCAGTAGTTTAAGTTCCTTAAGTTCGTCTGAAAAGTTGTTTTGGTTAATTCTGTTTCCCACGTTCCCATTTAAATCTTAAAATCAACCATCAGTTTGTTTGTTTATTTATTTATTTATTTATTTATTTAAAAGCCTGTTGTGATTTTGATTGAGATTTAGTCTAATGTGTAGATCGATTTGGGGAAAATTGACATCTGAACAGCACTGAACTTTCTGATTCCTTTGTTTAAGTCTCACTTCAATCTTTGGCGGTGCCTTATAGTTTACACTGCGTGGGCTTCCACTGGCAGCCCCTGGTTCACAGGCCGGTGCTCGGCCCACTGAGCCACACCGGCCTGGGCTGGAACACTTTTTAAATGAAACATTAATTATGTATTTACGTGTAAATTCTGTTAAAAAATTGTTTTACATTCCAAATTAGGCCCTTGGTCTATTGAGCATATTGCCTTACAGAATTGACTGCCTCCTGAAATTTTGGTTTGGGTAATTTCACATAAAATTACACAAGTGACGTTAAATGGAAGCTGACTTGTGAAATCATAAAACACAGCTAAGGGATTTATTTATTTTAGTTATCCTTGGGTTTTATTTTCTGATGCACAGTTTTTAAAAAAAAAAAAGAAGCCTTCACTCTTAGGACCAAGGATGTGAACTGGAGGCAAAAGCCAGGTCTCCAGCTGCACGAGAACGCGGGTTACCGCTCTTTTCTTCTCCAGAAGGGCTGTGGGAAGATGACCTGCTGAGCCAGTACTCTCTTTCACTTCCGAAGAAGACCAAGGGGAGCAGCTGTGATGGCAGTAAGTCACCGAGGTCTCCGAGAGTGTGTATGCCCGACCCAGTGGGTGCAACTGCTGTTAAAAAAAGCTCAAGCGCACCCCCCACGGCCAGAAATAAGTTTGCAGCATTTCTACAGAGAAAAAACGAGGAAGGCGGCGCGGTCGTGGTTCCAGGGACCAGGAGCAGGTATGGTGGCACGTCCAGAATGCGGTCCGTCTGCTGTGCTGTGTAAACTGTAAACATGGCGTCTGACGGGGCAGGGGCAGATTTAGTACAGCCCCAGTTTTTATTGTGTATGGCCTTAGTTAACAAGGAATGTAGTAAAATACACAAGCTCCAAACACACTGCTTTTAGAACACCTTAAAAATTGATCGTAGAAATAAAATTCCTAAATGTGTGCCTGTTGGCGTAATCAGAAGAGCTCTATTTTGCCTTTTTTATGAAGTTATGTATTGATGAGACTTTGTTTTAAAAACAAACTGGGCCATTCTCTGAATCTTATGACCTTGTGAGAAAACTAAAATACTTATGCAATCTTTCTGTTATTTTTTTCTGTTAGGTTTTTTTGTAATTCTCTGGATTCTGTGGACTGTCTGTCAAAGAAAGCAAGCAGTCAGCCTCTAGATGAAACTGCTGTTGTAGACAAAAAGACCAGTCTAAATGAGTCGGATTCTCTGGAGGGCAAGAAGCTGGTCGATCTAAATGAGTCGGTTTGTCTGGAAGGCAGGAAGCTGGGTGATCTAAATGAATCGGGTGTTCTGGAGGGCAAGAAGCTGGTCGATCTAAATGAATCGGGTTGTCTGGAGGGCAGGAAGCTGGTCGATCTAAATGAATCGGGTTGTCTGGAAGGCAGGAAGCTGGTCGATCTAAATGAATTGGATTGTCTGGAGGGCAGGAAGCTGGGCGATCTAAATGAATCGGGTTGTCTGGAGGGCAGGAAGCTGGGTGATCTAAATGAATCAGGTGTTCTGGAGGGCAAGAAGCTGGTCGATCTAAATGAATCGGGTTGTCTGGAGGGCAGGAGGTTGGGTGATAGGAATGTAGCACAGAACTCAAATGATCAGATGCCAGGTGATGTAACTGTGGTTGCCGACGATGAAGAGTCTCGGTCCTTTAAGACCAGCAAATTCACAAGGACCGTTTCACCACTCACCCTGGGGACACTAAGAAGTTGTTTTAGTTGGTCTGGAAGTCTTAGAGATTTTTCGAGAACCCCAAGCCCCTCTCCAAGCACCACATCTCACCGGTTCCAGAGAAAGGCTGGTTCCACCGGCTCCCTGCCTGAGCACAAGACGCCTGATGTGTCTCAGGTGAAGAGTGGCGAGTTTGGGGATGACACGCATCCCTCGTGTGACGTCGGGGGGCCTTCACCGTCCCCAGAAAGCGCAGAATCGTCACCCCTCAGCCTAAGCGCATCAGAACTTTCTCAGCCTTCTAGCAAGGACTTCAATTCAGAGGTAAGTCACATTATGAAACCTTTGCTCTTAAAAGTATATGTAAAACAAAGTAGGGTATTTATCATGGAATTGAGAAAAGTTTGCCTATGTTGGAGAAATGATTGGCTATCAATTTTTCATTCTAGATATTATTGTATAGAAAATTCACATTTTCTTCATCTGAAGGACTTCTCTGTGTCCTTCGGATTTTAGACTCTTACCCATCGATCTAACTGTACTGTTTGAGTCACTGTGTCAAGTGGTGGAGCAGTGAAGACCTCAGCAGAATGACAAGTTGTTATACATTTAATCTTTATTCCTTAATTTGCCCTTGAATTCAGAGGCCATTTAAAGCCTTGTGAGGAAATGGCCCTGCTAATGCCGTGGTGTCCATCTTAAGTTTTAGCACTTCAGAAATGTATTTTCATTTCCTCCTCTTCTTCTTAAACTTGCCCTTTGTAACAAAACAGAAACAAGTGACTTTATATTGTTTTAAATTCATAAAAGCATCCTAACCATTTTTTATTTACACCATACCTTTTCATCTGACTTACAATCAAAACCCTCAGTCAGTGCTGTCCATAAGCCCCAGTGACACTGTGTTTCAAAATGACAAGATAACATAATAGCTTTTTTCGGGTCCGAGTTACCTCAGCAGACCCCACTCCCTCACTCGGGGTGTCTCAGATGACACGTGTCGGTGTAACACACTTCCTTTTGTATCTACTGACTCCGGTTCCCCGGCTGTGAGGACAGCTGCAGCCTCGGTGGAAGTGGGTGTCTGGTCGAGCCCAGTGATGGGCAGCCTTGAACAAATCAGCAGAGCTGGTGTTTATCAAAAGGAAAATATTTAGGTTCCAGAGGAGACTTGACTTGTATTTGGGCTCTAATTGCATCAAAGAACCAAGTGAAAATGTGGAGACAGGCTGTTTTCACTTGGAGAAAGCCCAGCTCAGTTTATCGACTGGAATCCCAGCCTGTTCCCTGGGGCGTTTTTCATTTGTAGAGGAAGCCGACCTCCTGCAGGGCTGCCTTGCGGCCCTTTGCTTCTTTCCCTCTCGCCGTGGGGTCTTGGGCCGGTCCCTCCCCTTGAATGCCGTCTTCTCCCTGTTTCCCTCCACCCGGAGGGCTCTCCGGCACCTCGTGGGTGCCCCCCCTTCCCCCGGTGGACCATCTTTGGTGAAAACATCCCCATGTACCGGGAGGGCACTTTTAAGTCTGCGGCGCCCCTGGGGCGTTTGAGTCCCTCTTTCCCGAGGCAGGCCCTCACTCTGCCGCCCGTAGCCTCGTGCCACCCAGAGGCCTGGCCTGCTTGCAGGCTGTGGGCCCACCGGTCCTTGTGCTAATTCGCTACAGAAATGTGAACCAAAAAGACAGCGGACTAGAAAGTCTGCTGTGTGTCACCTCTGCCCCGGATGTAGTGCCTCCCTCCTAGGATAAACGAGTCACTAATGCAAACTGGACCATCTGTCCCTGACTCAGTAGGCGTTTCAGAAAGCCCCGTGACACCGGGGCTTGGCCTGGGTGTCAGTGCCTGCGATGTGGCTCCGAGGAGAACACTCCTCTTTGGGAGCCTCCGCCGGTGGCCCCTGAAATGCAGCGCCCCAGTTGGTTCAGTGACCCCCATCTGAGGGTCTCACTGGAGGTCTTCTTTGAAGAAATGCTTCAGACCTGAGTCATCCCTGCTGTTTGGCTGTCAGTGAAAAGTATTAGAGTTCCGATGAGTTGCAACCCAAGTTAATGGAGTGTTTTTCACTTTTTTTTTGGGGGGGGGGGTAATCTAATCTTTATTGTTTTTTTATTTTTTATTGATTATGCTGTTGCAGTTGTTCTATTCCCCCCCTTCATTCCCCTCCACCCTACCCCCCCATCCCCACCATTACCCCCCCTTTATTTTATGTCCATGTGTCTCAAGTTCTTTAGATTCTATATTTCCCATGCTATTCTTGCCCCGCCCCCCATCTATTTTCTATCTACTGTCTATGCTACTTATTTTCTGTACCTTCTCCCCCCTTCTCCTCCTCCCATTCCCCTCTTGCTAACCCTCCTTGAGATCTTCATTTCTATGTTTCCACTCCTGATCTAGCTGTCCTTTTAGTTTGCTTTTGTTTTAGGTGTGGTTGTTAATAACTGTGAGTTTGTTGTCCTTTCACTGTTTATGTTTTTTTTAACTTCTTTTTCTTAGATAAGTCCCTTTAACATTTCATAGAATAAGGGCTTGGTGATGATGAACTCCTTGAATTTGATCTTATCTGAGAAGCACCTTATCTGTCCTTCCATTCTAAATGAAAGTTTTTCTGGATAGAGCAATCTTGGTTGTAGGTCTTTGGATTTCATGACTTGGAATACCTCTTTCCAGCCCCTTCTTGCCTGCAAGGTCTCTTTTGAGAAATCTGCTGACAGTCTGCTGGGGACTCCTTTATAGGTGACTGTCCCCTTAGCTCTTGCTGCTTCTAGGATTCTCTCCTTCATTTTCATCTTGGCTAATGTAATGATGATGTGCCTTGGTGTGTTCCTTCTTGGGTCCACCTTCTTTGGGACTCTCTGAGCTTCCTGGATTTCCTGGAAGTCTATTTCCTTTGCCAGATTGGGGAAATTCTCCTTTATTATTTGTTCAAATAAGTTTTCCACTGGTGGCTGTGCCTTTCCCCCTTCTGGTACCCCTATAATTCGGATGTTGGAGCATTTAAAGATGTCCTGGAGGTTCCTAAGCCTCTCCTCATTTCTTTGAATTCTTGCTTCTTGACTCTTTTCTGTTTGGCCATTATTTGCTTTCTTCTGGTCCACTCCATTGATTTGAGTCCCAGTTTCCTTTTCATCCGTATTGGTTTTGTTGTAGGCAACAGATGAGTCAATGCATGCTCTCGGAGACGAAGATAGGTTTCAAAGATCTCTAATTTTATTGATTATAAAGTAATAGTCTAATTATAAATTTGGTGGCCAAGCTTTACCTGCGCAGGGGCGAACTTCCCTAGATGTGAACGGAGTCACATTAGCTTTTAAAGCTACAGATGGAAGTCGCGCGTGGCTCACAGACTACGGGGTTCTTATAGGGCAGAGCAAGCGAATGCGGGGTTACAGAAGCAGATGTGGCAGTTAGCTATTAGCCAGGTTGCTAAGTTAAAAAAAACGGCGAAAGTCTCTAATTGGTGGGTGGGAGCTGGGGGTCTCATCTGGCGGGCCTTGGTCAGTTACCTTATTTGGCTAGGAATTTTAACCCAGCCGTTCCCTGACATTTATTTATTACCCAGTCTCAGGAACTGCAGATGCCTAATGGCTGTTTGTATGTTTCTACTACTAATGGCTATTACATTCCCCCCTCCGGTTAGGTAGCAGTTAAACCATTGACTGCCGGTCATCTTGAGGCAGGATAGTATATGGTTGGGACAATACCATAAGCTTGATGGCATCAATCCTGTCCCTGATGAATGCAAAAATCTTATTCAAGATCCAGGGTCCTGCAGTCAGGGCAAGCAATAGGATAAGTATAGGGCCAGCTAATGCGGAAATAAGCGTGGTCAGCCAAGGGGAAGCTTTAAACAGAGAGGCATACCATGAAGAGGTCTGTTCCTCTTGTTCTCTTTCTTTTAGTCTCTTGGTTAGCATCTTTATGCTTTCTCTGATTACCCCCGAATGGTTGGCATAAAAACAGCACTCTTCCCCTAAGGCTGCACATAATCCTCCTTGTTGAAGAAACACAAGATCAAGCCCCCTTCGGTTCTGAAGTGCTACCTCAGCTAAGGAGTCTACTTGGCGTTCTAGGTACATTACTTGTTCCTGGAGCAGGGAGACGTCTTTAAAGAATGTCTGTGATAACCGTCTAAGGCTATCCTCCCCATGGATTAGTGCCCCCGCTCCAACAGCTGCTGATCCAATTATACCAATAGTGGCAGCTATGGGTATGAGCAATGGAGTCCACTTGACTCTGGAAGGGGGTCGTAGTACAAAGTCGGGATCCCCTCCATACAGGTATACTTGGGGAATAATATACGCACTAACACAAAGTTCTGGGTTAGTAGGAACTAGACATTTAAAAATACCTTGGGTACATATAAACCATAGCCCTTCTGGGGCTTTTGTTACAGTCAGTGTTCCTGGGGTCTTTGGTATGTATACTAGGTTGAGACAGTAATCTGCATAACTTGAATTGTTAAGGGTGAAATTAGCTAACAAGTAACAGGTTCCCTGTCCATGAAACTCTGCTAATGTGATGGTACCTTCAAATTCACATTGTTCAAGACCTTCCACCTGTCTTTTCCCTGGGGGAAGGCGCATTGTGATGGGAGTGTTATTTCCCCCTGCGGAGGAGTTAACCCCCAGGCCAACATAGAATGGGGGCCTTGGGCTAAGGCATAACCAACAAGACTCAGTAACATTTGGCATAGTATAGTTAAAATAAGGAAACACTTGTTCCAAGAGGCTTAGGGCCGACTCTCCTTGATGATGAGGCCTGCCTACTAGGGGTGGTGGGCTTCGGAGGAATGGCCTAGGGTTCTCCTCTTCCTCTCTAGGCTGCGCTGAGGCCTCAGTTGCCCTGGGAGGGAGTCTGGTTCCTTTTGGGACAGGAGAGCGCGTAGCGGCTAGGCTTACAGTAGGTTTGGGCGGGCGAGGTGGCAATCTGCCTACTGCTCCTCTCAGGAGGGGCCTTCCCCTGGTGGGTAATCTCTTTACAGTAAATAGAGTTCCTGGGTCATCCCCTGTGATATATAGGCGGAGGCCCCAGGTTCGTCCTTTAGCCCATTCGGGGTCTTTAGGGTTTAAAACAGTTATTACAGTTGGATTACAGTCGTTTGTGGCGCAGTTCCGATTCCATCTTTCACCCTTTTGGAGGGTGATAGTTTTATCCCTTCCCCCTCCGAGGCTCCACACATTGGAGAGGGTCTCACAACCCCATGCTTTACAGTAGTAGTCCCCAAGAGCGCTGCCACACGTCTGTCTTTTCCCTGGTGGGGATTCTGGGCAAGCGTAGAACCGGGTTCGGATGAGGTCTCGATTTAAGCCATCTTCTCCCCCACCCTTTT